TGACTTCTTTCACTGAGATCAACACTGGAATTGTTCAAAACACTAAAATATACTGCTTCTCAGTACTTCTAAGCTGTTTCAAAGATTATGAAGCTGAACTTTCATGAATTTGCAGAAATTACACAGTGGTGCATTTTTGACTTATTTCACTGAGAGAAAGCTTTTTTCGTCTTAGTCTTATTTTTGACTTCTTTCACTGAGCTCACACTGGAATTGTTCAAAACACTAAAATATACTGCTTCTCAGTACTTCTAAGCTGTTTCAAAGATTATGAAGCTGAACTTTCATGAATTTGCAGAAAACTACACAGTGGTGCATTTTTGACTTATTTCACTGAGAGAAAATTTTTTTCGTCTTAGTCTTATTTTTGACTTCTTTCACTGAGATCAACACTGGAATTGTTCAAACACTAAAATATACTGCTTCTCAGTACTTCTAAGCTGTTTCAAAGATTATAAAGCTGAACTTTCATGAATTTGCAGAAAATTACACAGTGGTCTTTTTGACTTATTTCACTGAGAGAAAGCTTTTTTCGTCTTAGTCTTATTTTTGACTTCTTTCACTGAGATCAACACTGGAATTGTTCAAAACACTAAAATATACTGCTTCTCAGTACTTCTAAGCTGTTTCAAAGATTATGAAGCTGAACTTTCATGAATTTGCAGAAAATTACACAGTGGTGCATTTTTGACTTATTTCACTGAGAAAGCTTTTTTCGTCTTAGTCTTATTTTTGACTTCTTTTACTGAGATCAGCACTGGAATTGTTCAAAACACTAAATTATACTTCTCAGTACTTCTAAGCTGTTTCAAAGATTATGAAGCTGAACTTCATAATCTTTGCAGAAATTACACAATGGTGCATTTTTGACTTATTTCACTGAGAGAAAGCTTTTTTCGTCTTAGTCTTATTTTTGACTTCTTTTACTGAGATCAACACTGGAATTGTTCAAAACACTAAAATATACTGCTTCTCAGTACTTCTAAGCTGTTTCAAAGATTATGAAGCTGAACTTTCATGAATTTGCAGAAAATTACACAGTGGTGCATTTTTGACTTATTTCACTGAGAGAAAGCTTTTTCGTCTTAGTCTTATTTTTGACTTCTTTCACTGAGATCAACACTGGAATTGTTCAAAACACTAAAATATACTGCTTCTCAGTACTTCTATGCTGTTTCAAAGATTATAAAGCTGAACTTTCATGAATTTGCAGAAAATTACACAGTGGTGCATTTTTGACTTATTTCACTGAGAGAAAGCTTTTTTCGTCTTAGTCTTATTTTTGACTTCTTTCACTGAGATCAACACTGGAATTGTTCAAAACACTAAAATATACTGCTTCTCAGTACTTCTATGCTGTTTCAAAGATTATAAAGCTGAACTTTCATGAATTTGCAGAAAATTACACAGTGGTCCATTTTTGACTTATTTCACTGAGAGAAAGCTTTTTTCGTCTTAGTCTTATTTTTGACTTTTTTTACTGAGATCAACACTGGAATTGTTCAAAACACTAAAATGTACTGCTTCTCAGTACTTCTAAGCTGTTTCAAAGATTATGAAGCTGAACTTTCATGAATTGCAGAATTACACAGTGGTGCATTTTTGACTTATTTCACTGAGAGAAAGCTTTTTTCGTCTTAGTCTTATTTTTACTTCTTTCACTGAGATCAACACTGAATTGTTCAAACACTAAAATTTACTGCTTCTCAGTACTTCTAAGCTGTTTCAAAGATTATGAAGCTGAACTTTCATGAATTTGTAGAAAATTACACAGTGGTCCATTTTTGACTTATTTCACTGAGAGAAAGCTTTTTTCGTCTTAGTCTTATTTTTGACTTCTTTCACTGAGATCAACACTGGAATTGTTCAAAACACTAAAATATACTGCTTCTCAGTACTTCTAAGCTGTTTCAAAGATTATAAAGCTGAACTTTCATGAATTTGCAGAAAATTACACAGTGGTGCATTTTTGACTTATTTCACTGAGAGAAAGCTTTTTTCGTCTAGTGTTATTTTTGACTTCTTTCACTGAGATCAACACTGGAATTGTTCAAAACACTAAAATATACTGCTTCTCAGTACTTCTAAGCTGTTTCAAAGATTATGAAGCTGAACTTTCATGAATTTGCAAAAATTACACAGTGGTGCATTTTTGACTTATTTCACTGAGAGAAAGCTTTTTTCGTCTTAGTCTTATTTTTGACTTCTTTCACTGAGATCAACACTGGAATTGTTCAAAACACTAAAATATACTGCTTCTCAGTACTTCTAAGCTGTTTCAAAGATTATGAAGCTGAACTTTCATAATTTGCAGAAAATTACACAGTGGTGCATTTTTGACTTATTTCACTGAGAGAAAGCTTTTTTCGTCTTAGTCTTATTTTGACTTCTTTCACTGAGATCAACACTGGAATTGTTCAAAACACTAAAATTTACTGCTTCTAAGTACTTCTAAGCTGTTTCAAAGATTATGAAGCTGAACTTTCATGAATTTGCAGAAAATTACACAGTGGTCCATTTTGACTTATTTCACTGAGAGAAAGCTTTTTTCGTCTTAGTCTTATTTTTGACTTCTTTCACTGAGATCAACAATGGAATTGTTCAAAACACTAAAATTACTGCTTCAGAACTTCTAAGCTGTTTCAAAGATTATGAAGCTGAACTTTCATGAATTTGCAGAAATTACAGAGTGGTGCATTTTTGACTTATTTCACTGAGAGAAAGCTTTTTTCGTCTTACTGTATTTTTGACTTCTTTCACTGAGATCAACACTGGAATTGTTCAAAACACTAAAATTTACTGATTCTCAGTACTTCTAAGCTGTTTCAAAGATTATGAAGCTGAACTTTCATGAATTTGCAGAAAATTACACAGTGGTCCATTTTGACTTATTTCACTGAGAGAAAGCTTTTTTCGTCTTAGTCTTATTTTTGACTTCTTTCACTGAGATCAACACTGGAATTGTTCAAAACACTAAAATATATGCTTCTCAGTACTTCTAAGCTGTTTCAAAGATTATAAGCTGAACTTTCATGAATTTGCAGAAAATTACACAGTGGTGCATTTTTGACTTATTTCACTGAGAGAAAGCTTTTTTCGTCTTAGTCTTATTTTTGACTTCTTTCACTGAGATCAACACTGGAATTGTTCAAAACACTAAAATACTGCTTCTCAGTACTTCTATGCTGTTTCAAAGATTATAAGCTGAACTTTCATGAATTTGCAGAAAATTACACAGTGGTGCATTTTTGACTTATTTCACTGAGAGAAAGCTTTTTTCGTCTTAGTCTTATTTTTGACTTCTTTCACTGAGATCAACACTGGAATTGTTCAAAACACTAAAATATACTGCTTATCAGTACTTCTATGCTCTTTCAAAGATTATGAAGCTGAACTTTCATGAATTTTCAGAAAAATACACATTGGTGCTTTCTTGACTTATTTCTCTGTGATAAAGCTTTTTTGGTCTTGGAAAGTTTTATGTTAATAAAACAGGAATTGTTAAAACCACAAAAATATACTTCTCAGTATTGATAAGCTGTTTCAAAGATTATAAAGCTTACATTACAAGATTTTGCTGAAAATTACACAGTGGTGCATTTTTGACTTAATTCACTGAGATAAAGGTTTTTTGGTCATACATAGTTTTGTGTTCTTGAAACACAGGAATTTTTCAATCCACCAAGATATACTGCTTCTCAGTTTTTCTATTCTGTTGCAAAGATTATAAAGCTGAAATTTCAAGGTTTTGCAGAAATTTAAACATTTTTGCTTTTTTGACTTCTTTCACTGAGATAAAGCGTTTTTGTTCTTAGATAGTTTTGTTTTAGAAAAAACACAATAATTGTTCATACCACGAAAATATACTTCTTCTCAGTATTTTCATGCCGTTTTAAAGATTATAAAGATGAAATTTCAAGATTTTTCTGAAATTTAAACTTTTGTGCATTTTTGACTTCTTTAACTGAGAGAAAGTTTTTTGGTCATACGTAGTTTCATGTTCATGAAACACAGGATTTTTTCAAACCACCAAAATATACTGCTTCTCAGTATTTCTATGCTGTTTCAAAGATTATAAAGCTGAAAATTTCAAGATTTTGCTGAAAATTACACTGTGGTGCATTTTTGACTTATTTCACTGAGATAAAGCTTTTTTGGTCGTACATAGTTTTCTGTTCACGAAACACAGAGCAGTTTTCATGTGTCCGAGACCAAAAAAAGATTCTATTTACACTGATACTTCTTTTACTAACAAATGTTTAGAAATTTTTCAGATATTTTCCACATTAACACTTTATTTTCACTTTTTTAGCTAAAGAATGTTTTCATATGTAATGTTTAACCATGTATTGTAAATTGTTCAAGTATCTTGAGTAACTTGCAGTCAAAGATGAAAGAAAAACAAAGGGATTACGGAATGACTTGGGGAAGTATAGCTGATTAATATTATTAAACTATAAAATATGCATAAAGAATAATAAACGGTCGGAATTATTGTAAGGTGTCTTAATCATTGACAAATGTATATATGTGAATGTTGGAGGGTTTGAGTGCGTAGTATGTCCTAATTCACCACATCCTGCCATCGCCCCGCCCTTGTTTGGATTCTATTTCCAAAAGATAAAAAAGAAAGGAGTATATATAAAATACAAAATTACATTTTATGTTTAGTTTTGGGGGGAAATAATGATAAATGTAAAGATTGTGGCATTAAAGGGAGAGACTGAGAAGAATGGTTAGAAAGACAGGAGAGGAAAGGAGTCTTAAAGGAATATTGGGAAATAGGAAGGAAACACTGTGGTGCATTTTTGACTTCCGTAATATTTACAGATTACGGAAATGTATTTATCTTCAGAATATCAAATTTAAAAAAACAGAATTTAATGGCTGTAAAGTAGTTTTGCTCATACCCATGTACAGGAGGTGGCGGTATACACCTCAAAATTGCTTGTGATCCACCTTAATAGAAAAGAAGAAGAAGAAAAACGTCATAGTCTCGCGCCGCAAGAGAAAACGTGTGAAGAGAGAGTAGAATCCACGTGAGAGCATGGCAGCGGTTCAGGAGCTGGAGATCCAACTGGCCCAGAGGTTAGCCTCCAATGAGAAGACCGTCCGAATCAAAGCGATGAAGAAACTACGGAAATACATCAGCGCTCGTTCACTTAAAGCCGCAGGTAGGCTAACTAAGCTGGACACCCCCTCCTTCGGGTCTCGTTCTCCATAAGGACGTACCCGGGGGCTCTCATATGGAGGGAGCTATAGACAGACAGTGGCCCCGCAGTTCTCACACGGTAATGATCAGATTTTAGCAACAATTATTATAACTTGGGCTCTTCCTGACGATAAAACAAGTTTTAGCCTAGCTAATGTGTGACTTTGCCCTGGTCCAGACCATCAGAGCTACTATCCTGAAACTCTTAGCTGCTTCTTCAACCTACAGAACCAAATGAATGGCTTAATAGGCCTCCGAAGAACTTAACTATGAAGGAGTTCGACATTTTATACAGGTGTGTGTTTGAGCAGGGATGCATCTAAAAGTTGGAGGACAGAGTTGGGCACCTTGATCTACACTTGATAGGATTATTTTCAGTAAGAGTCACAGATTTCGAAGGGCATGAGTTAATCTCAAAATTCAGACTGACCTGTAGCTGTCCTGATCTCTGGGTTAAGTGATGCTGTGTCTGCTTTTCAGGCGGATTCACAGGAGGTGAACTTCTCAAGTTGTGGAAGGGCCTCTTCTACTGCCTGTGGATGCAGGACAAAGCTCTGCTACAGGTGTGTGTGCATGTGTATCAGGTTAATTTCCTAGTCACATCCTTTCAGGTTTCATCTTGAAACTTATTGAGATAAGAAGCTTATTCATTTTTCAATATGCTGAAGAGTGTTTTCTTTAGTTTTTATTGTGGGGTTAATCCACATAACTCTGCGACACAGCTTCATTCTCCAATAAATGGTACAAGAACTGGACATTCTTAAAGCGCCGTACCGTAAATACCTGCATAAACAATGAATGTGTCTGCTTCAGAAGTTGTACCCATGGATGAAACACAGTCCTGATGCTTGCCATGATTACACACAAGGCGGTGGTGTGTTTGAGGTGTTGCCTTAAAATTCATCTACCTGGTCCCCCATTTAACTCAAATGATATCAGAAGCTTACAAAACTAATACGGCATAATCTGGCATTCTTTGATAGCTTAAAGGTGGAGTAATGTTGATGTCTGCAAACATTTGACCTTGAAGACATTTTATTCAATGTGATATTTCTGGCTCTTGGCACAAAGGAATAATTGACGTAAATCTAATTGATCTAAAGCAGAAACAGAAGAAGAAAATAGTTTTGTGTATTTTTTATGTTTATGTAAAATCTTGATTTTTCTTTGTTTGAATAAGTTTGTGTGTAAATGAAGCGTTGCAAGTTATTACCAGTGACCCAATGGATTCAAACCACTATGTATCATCTCAGTCTAGTTAATACTATCATTCAAATGGTTTTAGTTCATTAGCTCATGGTTTTATTTGCTCCAGTCATATTTAGTACATTTTCACTGTTGCTTCCTAAGGAGGAGCTGTCCAGTCAGATCTCTAGCCTCATTCACAACTTCCATGATCTGGATAAACGTGAGTTCTGGTGCACCATTTCAAAGTGATGACAGTTGAACCATAGAACTCCTGTCTGGCTAACAGTCTATTTCTCTGCAGAGCTCATGTACCTGGAGAGCTTCTTGCAGACGCTGAAACGAGAGTGGACTGGGATCGATCGGCTGCGGATGGACAAGTTCTACCAGGTTTGTTCTCTTTGCAATAGAACTGAGATCATTTACTGACCACTCTTCCAGAACCCAAGGAGAAGCTTTTGGGTTTTGCTTTATCTCTGCTTTTGACACAGTTGATTATGTTATATTGATAAGTAGAGTTTACCTAATTGTAGGTAAATCCACAGTTAGGTAAATCAACTTACTGTGGATTCACTGGCGTTTTCCTTCAATGGTTCACATCCTACCTTTCAGACAGCTCCTTCAGGGTCTACATCAATCAAATAATGTCTGACTCATCAAATCTGTCATATGATTTACCCCAGGAATTTGTTATTGACTCAATCCTGGTTTTATTGTATATGACTTCTTCAGCCCAGATCAGGGGTCACCAACCTTTTTGAAACTGGGAGCTACTTCACAGGTACAGAGTAACACAAAGGGTTACTTGTTTGATACAGACGTACATTTTTTTTAGCTCAGTCTTTATAACAGTAATACATCAGGGTTTCCCCCAGAAAACTTGCTAAGGTTTCCCAGTGGTCGGGGAACCGAGGCGGCCCACTGGCAGTCCACTGTGTTTTTTTATTAGAAGATGTTAAGTTGATAGGAAAAGTAAAAGTATTGATGGATAATTATATGTTACGGGAAAACATTTTCAGTGAAACGCTATTTCAACCCACACCTAGTCTTAGAAACAACTAATCAAAAAAATACAGTAAAAATTAATATAAATTATTTGCACTTCTGTTTAATCCAAATTAAATCAGCAGCTCCATAAGGCCTCCCAGGTATTCAGGGGGCCAATAAATGCTAATATTTTAATACAGGACCACAAATCAATAAATGTAACATTTGTTTATTGACATTTTCAATGTTGCTAAATTTGATTTAATGGTTTCAGCATACATAGATTAAAATATTTGAAATTGTTTAACATTTAAATTTAAGATGTTAATAAACTGGTAAGTTTACTTTGTAAAAGATCAAAGAACAATATTTATAGTTAGATTGTTTTTGTTGCCATAGCAATCTTATGCTGTGAGTTTAATCTTTGAGTTTGAGCTCTGTTTGTTCACAAATACAAATTAGTAAACTGCATTTATAACTTACTGCTTTTTAGGTTGGCCAATTAAACTACTCCCCTTCTCCCAGATTAAATCTAAAAGAGAAGCTGTTAGAGGTGTTGATGTTTTTAGCTGGAAGAGGGGCTCCTAGATTAAATTCTGCTCAAGGCCTTATGCAGCCTTGGATCGGTCCTGCTTGATGAGTTAAATCCGCTGCACTGCACGCAGAGATGCTGCTAATATGGCTTTAGTAGCTCTTCAATTACTGTCTGACTTTTTAATAAGGGGACACAGAAACTATTCTGGCTGCTCAAGTTTGTTGTTCGAGTTTTTCTGATTGTTGCGCGCATTTACTCTGGCTGACGAAGTGGACAAAGCATTTGATACGATTTGATGCATCGTGTAACCGGAAAAATTATACTAAAAATAATGATAAAGCAATATAATATAAACTCGTGTCTATGAGGAGAGCAGGGCTGAACCGACATGATGAGTGACTAGCGCTGGTTCGTTTACAATTAAATATCAGTAATGATTTACCATGGCAGATATAGTTAATTGCTATTATGTTTTAAGTTTGATTACCTTTTGGAGCTCTTCTTTGTCACTCTTAATTGCCCACAAATGACTGAGAGTATGGATTGGTGCAGTAACTTCTGCAGCTGCACAGCTGTATGCACTAAGTACCTTGAAATTTTCATTTAGATAAAAAAAAAGAAAAGAATTGTTATTTTAGGTTTTATTTTCTAACCGTCTTTACTATTGGCAAAATTGTGGAGAAAAAAGATCCTTGGTGTCAAAAGATGTTGTACACGCAGCTGTGTCAGTCTGGGAGGGGTGAAATGAGGCACACCAAAGCATAAATCTTGTCAGTTTGTTTTTGTTTATTTCATGGCTTGGCGCTTTTCTGTAAGCTGAAAATGAATGAGTTGAGTTTGAACCTCCCGTAGATTGAAGATCCTGCCTGAGCTTCTTACAGTGTGCATTTTTCTGGCAGGTCACCAGAAACTGATAAACAAAACTGTTTATTAGTTTTGTTTGCGTTTTCGCAAACTGAAAAGCTGATGGGACTGTTGACAAAAAAAAAAAAAGGTCTGACAGATCGGGGGGTAGCACAAAACAATCCCCCCAGAGCACAACCACCTCTCCAAAGTGCAAAAATCAGCACAAATCTAGATCACAGACGATGTTAAGAAAGACATGGAACCGAGGTTGTTGATTGCAGGTTCAGGTGGTGTCAGATGTCCAGAGGACGAGAAGGTGAAGCAACAATATTTGCTTAATTTTTACTTTTTTGGCTAGATTAAATTGTTTAACCCACAGTCTTAGCGCAATGATCAGGAAGAGCAGCAGATATCAGCTGACAGGTGAGTTATCAGCTCTCCAGTTCGGGAAACGTCAAAGAAGCTCATAAACCGACAACCTGCCAGAACCGCACACGGTAAAAAGCTCCGCCGGGATCCCAACGTTGCTGTTAGAATTACGAGAGATTCAAAATGCTGTCATTCATTTTTATCTTACAGAAAATGCGCGAAGCCAGCAAATAAACAAAAGTTAACTGACCAATAAGATTTAGTCTTTGGGTGCTCACCTCCAGAGATTCACTCAAATATGCGCTATGTACAAGATGTTTTGCAGAAAAGATACTTTTTTCTCCACAATTTTGTTAATCGTAAAAAGGGTTAAATAATAAAAATTACAGAAATTATTCTTTTCTTTTTTTAATTAAGGGAAAATCTAAAGGAACGGAGAGTATGTACACCTGTACAGCTGCAGACGCTCCTGTCCGACTATAATATCCTGCCGGGGTCTGAGCATAGTTCTGAACTTTAACCATAGGAAAGATTTTTATATATAAAACAATTTATTTTAAACATTTTATCATTTCCTTTTTTTAAATTTCATAAATAAATGTTATTACTTCATTGTAAATAAATATTTTTTTAAGGTGTGCTCTCTAATGAGAATGGCTATTTTTAGAACTTGCTCTGATAGTCAATGTCCCCTCGGGCGACTGGGTTCCTGCAGGCACCTTGTTGGTAACCCCCGGCCCAGATTATACGCTATTTTGATCATGTCTCTTGTCATTCCTATGCTGACAACTTAGTTATCCTGTTTTTTAGACGTCTGAATTTTTTAAATTGTTATGTCTGATTGCTTGTTTGAGATTAAGAATTAGTTAAAAATATACTGCTTACAACTGAACTCCAACAACACAAACACTGATGGTGGCTAATCAAAAGATTTCTGAAATCAGAAAGCACACCAGTTTCCTAGGATCTTCTGTTCAGTCTGATTCAGAAATCTAATTATGATTTTTGACAGCTCCACGTCTATTCATCATCATCCCAAGCTCAAAAATGTTTTGGTAATCTAAGAAATGTTGCTGAACTCAGAACAATGGTGTCTAGATGTGAATTGGAAGATTTTCAAGGCTTGTATACTCTTGGGCAATGTTCCCTCTAACCTGCGCAGTCGCGCACTGCTTGCATATTCTCAGGCCACAAGAAAATGTAGCGCATATGTAGCGCATAAAATAAAGTCCAACGTAAACTGGACATTGAGCTCAGACATCAGTTTTGACTATGGACCAATAACATTTTTTTCTGTACTACTTTGCGATCGAACTCAGTGAGTGACAGGTGTCCAGCTAAAGATATGATACGGTTCACTTTCGCTACGCAGCCAATCATTGCATGCTGTTTTGTGTACGTGCCTTGGTGATATGCGCTCAGGTAAGAATAGTGCGGCGGAGGTAAGAGACGTGAAAGCTAACACCTTATCATGTCTAAGAGGGACATCCACTCACCAAGCCTAAGTAAAAAAAAAAAAGAAATGCACTTCTTCTAAGATCAAATGGCTGTCGGAGTTTGTGCAAATGGAAGAACAGTACAGTGTACAGTGGAGTGACCGTGTCAAGGAGGCAATGGGGCCATCACCGTTGTAATTATTCTTTTTATTGGAAAGCTTTGTGATCACATTGATGCTTGTTTTTCAGAGCATGAATTAAAGGAATGGTCTGCATTTGATATTGAAGCGTTGAGTTCAGAGTTTTGACTATGGATAAGCAGACATTTGTACACTGGCAAAGAAGTATGAAGCCATTCTCCTACGCCCACAGATTATGGAGGCCATTAACAGTCAATATGCTGAATTCAAGTACATAAAGCGAGAAGCAGACTGACCCATCAACCTGGGCAAAGTGTCCAACCACTGGAGAAATGAGAAGGGCAGATGTGAAAAAACTGTAATTAAATAATTTACAAGAATTTATATTGTATCACAAGCTACAGAAAAACATTTCATTGTGCAAAATGTGAATATTTTAATATTAACAAAAAGTTATGTCTGAAAGGTTCAATGTCTCATTTCTCACCCTGACTAAAGCAGGACTCTTACTTATACTATGCATCTGATGAACAGCAATGTTTTTTGTTTTTATTTTTATTTTAATTGGACAAATCACTTAAATTAAAAGCAAACAAATGAAAATTGCTGATGTAATCTGATTCTTTTAATAAGCCATGCAACTTTCTATGATCCCAGATTTATAACAGGTGTAATACTTGTGCGTGGCCACGCCGTGCACACTGATGATGCCCACAGTGGTCCTCAGTGTACTCAGGATGCTTGTGTGTATGCCCAGATACATAAAAAATTAAAGGAAACATTGCTCTTGGGCGGATTATTGTAACAGTGTTTTGACCTGTTTTAACAAATCTGCAAAGCATCACATTGCTTGTATAATTCCTGTATTAGCTTCTCTTTGCTGTTTATCAGTGAATTTTAGATTCCAATTTAAACTCCTTGTTTTAACTTTTATGGCCCTCCAGTATGTTTCTGACATGCTTAAACCTCAGCAGAGCGCTGAGGTCTGCTGATCAATGTTTTTGTTAATGCCACATAAAAAATACTTGTAGGAATCGGCCACTTCAGACTGTTGCTCCCTTATTGTGGAGTTCTCTCATTGTTTTTAATATGCCGATTCCATTGATAATTTGAAAACTCATCTATAAACCCATTTGTAGCTCCGTTTGTACAGACAAGCTTTTCATTTAATTAGATGTTTTATGTGCATTTCTTATGTTTTAAATGCATTTTTCAAAAGCACTTTGTGTTTTTATTTTTATTTTATTTTTATCTGAAAAATCTTATGCAAACAATACTTTACTTTCTTTAGGGTGCCATAATAATCTCAGCTGTGTAGCCTTTTTCGAGCTATACTGAAGTCATGAAGATCAAAACTTAAATGATATTTGGATCAGATTCCTTCATCACATCACACTTCAATAAACTCCAAATCTCCAGTTCATCCTTTTCTTTTTTATAATGCTGTTGAAAAGTCCCTTGATTTTTTTATTTTATTTATTTTTTTGCCACTTTTTTGCCACGTTTGACATTAGTTTGAACAATTAATTGTGACAAACATACATATGTTTATAACACTCAAGACTTTCTGTTAAAATATGGCCACAAACATGGGCTTATGTTTTCTAATACTTCTTGGTAAGAGATGGACAATGAAGTAGGAAGTACTGTTGAAGACTTTAGGCAGTTTTAGAACTTAATGTTAAAAGTTGACGTGGAAGTAATGCTCACAATGCTGAGCTAAGTGGTGAGAGAATGATTTGAAATTGAGAACAAGTAAAACTTAGCTGAAATTTTTGCATCTTAAGTTGTTTTATCAGTACAGCACAGATATGCAACATTGTAAATGGAAGCATTTACATTTCTAAATGTTTAATGTTCCCTCTTCAGCTGGTTCGATTTGTGTTCCGACAATCGTTTGACGTCCTAAGAAGGAGAAACTGGGAAAGCAGGTAAGGATCTGGAAAAAAAACTTCCATTTAAGAAGTCTAACAGTGCATAAAATAAATAACTGCTTTTCTCAGTGCGATTGGGAAGTTTTTGGAACTGCTGAAGTGTCATCTCCTGCAAAATGACAGCGAGACGCCCTCTGGATTGCTGTTACACATCTTGGACCTTTACATGACAGAACTAGCTGCTGTTGGTGCTGGAGAGGTATGATGAAATTCAATCAGGGGGTTTCCCCCAGAAAATTGCTAAGCCCAGGGGTTGGTTCACTAAGGCGGCCAACAGTGTTTTTGTATTGAAGTTGACAAGAAATTTAAAAATATTACTGGGTAATTATACATTATGATAAAATGCTATTTATGCTCACAACTATAGAGTCTTATAAACAACAAATAAAATAAATATAATTAAAATTTATATCAGTTTTTACACTTCTGTTTAATCCAAATTATGTCAGGAGCTCCAGAAGCCCTCCCATAAATGCTAATATTTTAAAACTGTTTTAATACCATTAGGACTATTGCTAAATGTTAGCAGCATGACTAACTATTAGCAATGCTGCTAAATGGTATTTAGCAACAAAAAAGATTTTAAATTGTTTAACTTTTAAATTTAAGATTTTAAGGAGTTGGAAAATTTACTTTGTAAAAGTTCAAATAACAATCTTCATAGTTAGTTTTGTTACCATTGCTAAAGTCTGTTACTGTGAGTTTATTTGAGTTTGAGCTCTGTCAGTAAAGTGCAATTTTTACTGATTGTTTTTTAGGTTGGCCAATTAAACTAGGCCATTCTCCCAGAATTTCCAGGTTGAAATGCTGCAAATGGTGATGATGTTCTTAGCAGGAAGAAATTCTGCTCAAGGCCTCCTACGAGGAGATTTCATTTCAGTGACTTTAGTAGCTCTTCCATTTTGTATCTGTTGAGTTTTTAATAAGGGTCACAGAGACTGTTTTGGTTGCCCGAGTTTTGTTTTTCTGATCTCCAGGCTGACTAAGTAGTCAAAGCATTTGATATGGTTTGATGCATCCTGTAACCGGAAAGTAAATTAAAACCAGCATGATGCAAAAACTCTTCCACAGGCGGAACCGCTTAACCACCAATGCACTGGCCAACTGGGACCACATACATAAACTTTATCAGCGCAGACATAGAGCCAAGTGCTGACAATGTGTTGAGATGTAAACACAGCACATAATTATTCGTTCACAAAGAGAAATTATTCTCAACGCATACCTCTGAAAGTGCAACAGGTTAAGTACCTGCGGTTCACATAAATCTGCATAGCCAGAGCTAACGTGGCAGGTTTTAAACTTGACTCCTACTTTGATGAAAAATTCCTACTTTGATGAAAAATTCAGCAAAGAAACGTGAGTCCACAGATTACAGGGACCCCTCTGGGGTATGTAACTATCCATACCAGTCAGCCTGTTTCTGGCTGACTGGTATGAATATTGTTACAATAATGTGTTAGAATGTAACATTCCAGAGATTATATTGTCTGGAATGTAATGTCCAGACATTTTATTGTCTGGAATGTAATGTCCAGACATTATATTGTCTGGAATGTAATGTCCAGACAATTAAATTCAGTAATTGTTTGGACATTACTGAAAACTGCAGACAAACCCTGGATATTCGGTAATGTTTTTAAAATGAGATCATAATGTTGAATGTAGTAAAGATTTAGATTATAATTATGAGAAATTATATTGGTACTGGCCTCTTGTGGATGTGTCTTGCTAATCAGACTCTGCTTTTTGCAGCTCACTGCTGATCAGAACCTGATTTTTATAGAACCGTTCTGCAGGAAAGCAGCCAAAACCAAGAAGTAAGTTTTCCTCTATGTGCTTAGGATGAAGAATTCAATCACAGTTGCTTGGCTTCCTTTGCTTAGCATATATTTTCCACCCAACCTGTTGCTGAGCAAGAAGTAGCAACCTGCAGTTTGAATGTTGCCCAGCAGAGCTGAAAACAGCTTCTGAGATTAGATCATATTGAGACAGAGCTGAATATGGTCTGATCAGCTCTGTCTGAATATGACAGAGCTGATTGTCTCTCGTATATCAGATTGCCTCTGATATGTCTCAGAGAAGATACATCAGCATACATTACAGACCAAGAGTTTGGACACAACCTTCTCATTCAATGGGTTTCCTTTATTTTTATGACTATTCATAAGGCAAGAAAGCCCACTTATTAATCTGACAGGGCACACCTGTGAAGTGAAAACCATTTCAGGTGACTACTTCTTGAAGCTCATCAAGAGAATACAGAGTGTGTGCAAATCCGTATAATCACAGCAAAATGTTGCTACTTTGAAGAAACTACAATATAATGTGTATTTTCAGGTGTTTTACACTTGTTTGTTTAGTACATATTCCCACACGTGTCAATTCATAGTTTGATGTCTTCAGTGTGAATCTACAATGTCAATAGTCATAAAAATAAAGGAAACTCATTGAATGAAAAGGTGTGTCCAAACTTTTGGTATATACTGTATATCTCAATCAGTCATTTTAAATTCAGTTAGACATGATGCTGTATAGCTGTCAGCACCACAGTAGTATGTCAGTTTACCATGTCTGGTGCTAAGGAAGCCATGCCTCTTTAGGCAACAGGAAGTGAGGTGTCATCCAGAGAATAGCTGTGTTCAGTCTTTGTCCTCCTTTCCTGACAGTTTTCCTGTTTGTTGTTTCTCCAGCCATGCGCTTTTCAGCGCAATTTGCAAAAGCCTATTCAGCACCATCATTGAACAGGCTCCTTTTGCCGTGGAAGATCTTATGAAGGAGGTGAAAAAAGCTCAGGAGTCTGATTCAAGGCAGGAATCTGAGGATGATGACGAACAGAAAGAAGAGGAGAGAAGAAATGGAGTCAGTAAGAGCGGACAGGGGACGCTGTTAAAAGGTACATCCTAACACAGCAGCACCCACCTCTAACCTGGACTGGTGTTTTACTAAAGTTCACTGTGGCACCTGGATTCTTTGCTTGTAGGGAGTCATTTGAAAACAGAAGAAGAAATTGATGAGGAGCTGCTTCACTTGAAGGACTCTGACTCTGAGCTGTCAGATGAAGACTTTGGACCGGTTCTGCAGGTAAACATGTCTGTCTGATCAATCAATCAATCAATCAATCAATCAATCAATCAATCAATCAATCAATCAATCAATCAATCAAATTTTATTTATATAGCACATTTCAGCAGCAAGGCATTTCAAAGTGCTTTACATCATAAACACAAGAACACAAAGTCATGCATCATGGTATAAACAATACATTGTTACATATTACATTTCAAATACAATTCTAAACAGGTGTGTTTTTAGTTGAGATTTAAAGGAAGTCACGGTTTCTGCTGTTTTACAGTTTTCTGGAAGTTTGTTCCAAATGTTTGGTGCATAGATGCTGAAAGCTGCTTCTCCTCTTTTGGTTCTGGTTCTGGGGATGCAAAGCAGACCAGAACCAGAAGACCTGAGAGGTCTGGAAGGTTGATACAACAACAGCATGTCTTTGATGTATTGTGGTGCTAAACCGTTCAGTGATTTGTAAACTAACAACAGTACTTTAAAATCTATTATTTGAGCTACAGGGAGCCAGTGGAGGGACTTTAAAACTGGTGTTATGTCTCTAGATTCCTGGTTTTAGTGAGAACGCGAACAGCAGCATCCTGGGTCAGCTGCAGCTGTTTGATTGATTTGCGACTAAAGAAAAACGCATGGATGAGTTTCTCTAGATCTGGCTGAGACATTTGTCCTCTAATCCTGGAGATGTTCTTCAGGTGATAGAAGGCCGACTTTGTAATCGTCTTTATGTGGCTCGCAAGGTTCAAGTCCGAGACCATCACTACTCCGAGGTTTCGGGCCTGATCGCTAGTTTTTACTTGTAATAACCGAAGCTGTGCATTGACTTTAGATTGTTCCTCTTTAGGTCCAAAAGTAATGACTTCAGTTTTGTTTTTGCTCAGCTGGAGAAAGTTTTGGCACATCCACATATTTATCTGTTCTAAGCATTTATTCAGTGATTGGATGGGTTCAGAGTCACCTGGTGACATCGTAATGTAGAGCTGAGTATCATCCGCATAGTTGTGGTGGCTAATATTATTTCCTGTTATAACCTGAACTAGTGGGAAAATATAAATATTGAATAAGAGGGGTCCTAGGATTGAACCTTGGGGTACCCCACATGTGACCTTTGACCTCTTTGATGAGAAGTTTTCAATTGAAACAAAGAAATCCCTGTTCTTTATGTAAGATTCAAACCAGTCGAGCACCGAACCGGAGAGTCCAACCCAACTCTCCAGTCGATTCAGTAATATGTCATGGTCGACAGTGTCAAAAGCTGCAATGAAAGAGACATTTTGCTTAAAACTCTTTAAAATCTGGATTGACTATTGACAGGCAAAGATTTACCTAATGCATTGCATAAAGCCGAAGCAAATTTCTTTTTGGATGTTATCAAAAGTGAAAATTGAAATGGCAAAATCATATGGCAAAATATAAACAAACTGATACGTAAGGAACATAAAACGGTCAATAACAGTCTGGAAATAAAAGTGAATAATACGTTACTGACTAATTCAAAAGAAATAGCAACTGAATTAAATAACTTTTTTATTAATTCTGTTAATGAAATAACACAGATGTTCACTCAGTCAGATATACCTTGTCAGTCTGCTGATCTCAGACAACCTAGGTTTAACTTAGTGCAAATCACAGAGTTTGAAGTTGCTAGAATAATTAAATCAATGAGGGCCTCGAAAGCCAAAGATGTAAATGGGCTTGATATACAATTTTTAAAAACATATATAGACACACTAGTGTGCCCAATAACATATCTGATAAATGCATCCATCAGAATGGCAAAAGTTCCATCAGGTTGGAAGGTGGCTACAGTCTCACCAATTTTTAAATCAGGAGACAAAACAAATAGTCCGAAGGTCCACAGGACCTTATTCCAAAATGAAGCTGGCTTGTCCAAATATGCTTTTGCATACCTCAAGCGACTCCGTTTGTGGCGTGCTTGCAGAAAAGGCTTTCGTCGCATCACTCTCCCATACAGCTTCTCTTTGTGCAAAGTGCGCTGAAGTGACACCATCTGCAGCAAGATGATCCTGCAGGTCTTTGGAGGTGGTCTGTGGGTTGTCCTTCACAGTTCTCACCATTCTTCTTCTCTGCCTCTCTGATATTTTTCTTGGCCTGCCACTTCGGGGTTTAACATGTACTGGCCCTTTTGGTCTTCCATTTCCTTACTACGTTCCTCACAGTGGAAACTGACAGTTTAAATCTCTGTGATAACTTTTTGTATCCTTCCCCTAAACAACTGTGTTGAACAATCTTTGTTTTTAGATCATTTGAGAGTTGTTTTGATGTGCCCATAATGCCACTCTTTATAGGAGATCCAGACTGGAGAACAACTTGCAATCGGCCACCTTAAATACCTTTTCTCATGATTGGATACACCTGGCTATGAAGTTCAAAGCTTAATGAGGTTGCCAAACCAATTTTGTGTTTCAGTAAGTCAGTGAAAGTAGTTAGGAGTATTCAAATCAGTTAAATGATAAGGGTACCCAAATTTTTGCACCTGTCAAATTTTGTTTTTATGCATATTGCCCATTTTCTATTAGTACAATAAACCTCATTTCAGTACTGAAATATAACTGTGTACATCAGTTATTAGCTATATCAAACTGAGATAGCTGTTGCAAACACCCAAATATTTAGAAATAAAAATAATAAAGATTGTAGTTAGGAGGCGCTGATTCAATTGGTACAATTTGGTCATTATCGTCATTCAACCATGTTTCTGTCAGAAACATAACATCAACATTATACTCAGTGATGAAATCATTAATTAATAAAGCTTTAGCACAGAGTGATTTGGTATTTAAAAGAGCTACTTTAAGAGGCTTGGAGGCAAAAATATTTTCAGTCTGAGGTTCCTTTAGGCAGGGAATTAGTCTGAGGTTCGAATTAGGACAGCTGTATTTCATATTTCTGTTTTTTGTAAATTTTCTCATAGTGATCCGGACAGCTAATGTCCTGTTCTGCAGTACCCGGGGGCAAGACACATTCTGGATGGAGACAGGTGTAAAAATAATATCTGGTCCCCGGCCTCAGACCTCAGAAACGCAGAGTGATGGATCCTCTGGAAAGTCAGGGGCAGGTGGCTTAAATGTAGTGAGGTCTGCTAAGTGAGTGCTAAGGAGAGACGTGCCGAGGCGAACCTGTTGATTCATCCCATCTGTAAATTTAAGAAACTCTGGTCCGGAAGAGATTTCTTCATTGGTATCTATTGAATCCTGTGAATGATTGGAGGAGCAGAGAGGGAGGGGGGAAGGAGGCAGGAAAGCAGTCGCTCCGTCTCCAGTCGATTTATCGGCTTGTTTTGGAATATCATGCTGTTGATATGCGGCGGGCTCCATCCTAGTCAGACATCCTTGAGCTTGTTCTTCTGTCGCGATGATCCTGTTGATGTCCTTGTTGATGAAATAAAAAAGGTTTGCAGTGAGTAGCTTTATCCCATGTTTATTAAGATTGTGTCCTCCTCTTCCAAAACGGTGAAAGCGCTGCCATTAGATCCAGAGGTGATCGATGAAGGTCACAAATGGGTGGTTTTAATCAGCCATTTGTTTATTGTGAGCAGCCTGGAGTGTTTTTCATTGAGGTGATGGAATTGGACCACTGAGAAATAACTTCATTTTTAATTTTCCCATAGTGTTCAGAAGAATATTAAAGTCCTTTTTCAGAATCTCAGACTTTTGCTTTGCCAGATCGTTGGCTCCAACATGCACAACTAAAGTCTCAATATATGGCTGATCAGTGGTTAGAGAGAGCAGTTTGTTGGTTAAATCAGATACTCTGTAACCAGGAAAATACATCACTCTTGTTTTCCTGGGATTGCAAATATCACTGATTCCCTTTACTGCCTCATCTCCAACAATAAGCCCTTTTGACATACCTTTTGTTTTCCTGGTGGTCGCTTTGTCCTTTGGAGCTTTGGGGGATGGATGTGTTGGTCTTGCCTCACTGTTGATGTTTGAAGGCAAAGTTTCACTCAGAGGCTCAGGCTGGAGTGCAGAAAATCTGTTTTTCAGTGGGATTCCCACAGAGTCAGAATGTTTTGAGGCTCTTGCTGGCTGCTTTGTCTGTGGGAGTGGGGTCGGTGGAAGCGTTTTGGTTGCAGCTGCTTGTTTGTCTTTCTTTGGCGGAGCAGGTGTTGAATTTGAAGGTGGGTTTCGGCTCAGAGCCGGCCACGCTGATTCATCCAGGTGCGGGGTTCTCCTTGATAGTCGTCTCATCGGATCCACAGTGCGAAACTCCCGTTTCGGCTTGGCACCCAGAGCGTTCCAGGGTGAGCTGCTCGGTGCAGGGCGCACGACCTCTCCGTTGATTTGAGGAAGAGTTGTTTCATTTCCACAGGGAGCGTTGATCTCAAAGTTCACCTCCAGCAGTTTAATCTTCATTTCTATAGACTGAAGTCGTTGTAAAATACTGCTCATGTCCTAATAAAGTTGAATTGTATTCTATTCTATTGGGGTCAGTCGGAGGCATTTTGCCCTGGTTAAACTTGGAGGTAAAGAAAAGTAAGGTAAAAATAAAAGTAAGAAAATCCCCCAGTCCTTAGGTTTGGAGTAATCCAGTTAAGATGTCAATAATGTTTAGAGATCATTCCTTTTGTTCTATGAATGTATGGATTGAAAGACATGAAAAGCTTTAAGCAGTCAGCTTGGATCCTGCATCACAATTATGTCACAAAGTTCTGATAACGTCTTGGCAGCAAACTGTGCAATGCCTACTAGAACTGGGTGCATTGATCTAAACATTGATACTATCTCTACAAAGGTGAGAAATGGTATTGGATCAATACTATTGGGTTGAAATGTTTGTTTACACTTTTTCTACTCAGTTTGTCCAGTAAACACTAAACTGGTTTAGGGGTCGCATACAGCTTAATCTGATCCCAAGGGGCCGCACAAATTAACTCATTGCAAGATTAAATAGAACTAATGAAAGTGGTCTCGTTGATTTTTATATTAAACAAATTTCACTTTTACAAAAATATATTATGAATAACTTCAGACTTTTTAAGAAAAGTA